ACTACAAGTACTTCACCATAGAAAACCCGCTTCCCGGTCATTTCCTTACGTCATGTACTGGGAAATATACTAGAATTGTTCAAATACCGACTAAACCTTATAGAGTACATAACAGCAGTTCAATTAAAATATGGTGATTGCTACGAAGTTCATTTTGGTGCTAAGCGAATTATTATATTATTAAGCAGCGATACAGCTTATCCTATTCATACCTCCTCAGTGGCTCTTAATTGTAAATTCCTTTATCGTGATTCACCCAATCCTGACCTAAATGAAGTTGGTTATGAGCAGAGTGGAATAATTGCTAATAGAAATTTAGATGAATGGAAAATTAATCGAGAATTCTTTAAAAAAACTGTAATGTCAAAAAGATTTTTAAGAAAATTTACAGGAAAGATTTATGAAGTAGCCTTAGATATGCTTAAATTATGGAATACTGTATTATGATAAATGAACAAAAGAAATTGATCTATCAGAGTGGCTAACGAGGCTTGCTGGGGATTTAACTGTTTCAACTGCAACTGGAATATCGACTTATTCGAAACTTTCTTATTTTAATTCATTTGGTTATGATTACAATTATGATCATATTCCAGCTTCAAAGTGGGAACTATCTTCAAAAGTGATTTCTCTTATTAATTCAATTTTTAGTGTCATTACTGTATATGATAATAATAATATTGTATATTACTGGTAATTTTTAATTCATTTAATTCAAGGGTTCCTTTCAGTTCCGCCCTTTGTAAAGCATGCTCCTGAATAAACTGTTTAAATAACAAGTTCTTCAAATGCGCAAAAATTCTAGAGGTCACTCTATATGAGATAATTCAGGAAAGACGCGCTGAAATTGATTCATTACCTTCGTTACCATCTGACTTTTTAGCTTTGCTTCTTACCGCAAATACACCTTGTGGTCAAAAATGCATTATATCAGTCATTAAGCCGGTCATTGAATGATCATGAAATTTATAGTGTTATTAAAGATATTTTCACTGGTTCCTTCGAAACGGTAATTTATTATTTAAATATAAGACTTGTAATAAATAACACAAATTAGCTCATACTAAATTTTAAATGCATAATAAACATTTCTTAAACAGACTGCAACCACATTGTGTCAGTAATTAATTTATATGCAAATATCCTTCTGTAAATCCAAAGTGCTTTCTGAAATAGATTCAATATTCGGTCATTTTCCTACACGTTTAAACATCCTTTACAAAAACGTAGAAAAACTTCAATACTGCGACGCCTTAATAAAAGAGGTACGTCGTGTAAGCCCATCATTTCCTGCACTTCCACAACCAAATTCTGAACCTGTAGAAATTGGTGAATATCTAATGAAAAAAGGATCAACCATTCTTATTAATTATAAAGGAATAAATATTAATGAAAACGATTGGATTGATTGAGTTTTTGATCACAACAGATTTTTGAAGAATTATGATATTAAGTGATCAATAAACGCTAATGTGGAAAGTGATAAAGGTGCATTTTTCATCATTTGGTGGGGTGCTAAATCTTGTCCGGTTTGTATTAAAAATTTACAGATTTTTCATTGTATATTTGTAGATTTATAAATTTGATTCACTCATAAATATACTTTGCATTAACAGGAAAAACTCTGGGCGGCTGTAGAAATCAAAGTATTTTTAATATCAGTTTTAATGAGATATGACAGAATTTATCAATACGGATCAAGAATTAAATTTATATTTATTCTTCCTATCATTGGCGAATCCGTCTGAAACCTAGGATGCAGAAATTATAA